GCGGGCGGGGCGGGGGCGCGCGTCTCCGCCTCCCGCGCGGGGAGGGTTGATTTTTTCGCCTCCGGTTCTTACTCGCTGGCCCTTGAGTCCGAGGGTTAAATTGCCAGGCTGGTGCGCGCCCAGGCGGGTCAGAGCAGCGGGGCGGCCTTGAGAGGGGCGGCCCTCAGGGCCGCCCCCGGCCCCCTCGCCAGTAAGGCACCCGCGCGCTGTTGTGCAACGGGACGTTTCTCTGATTCTCCCGCCCCCTCTCCCCCACACGACGTGTTGCATTGCACTTTACTGCGCGTCCTAATCGCCCCTTTGGGTGAGGCCCAAGACTTTCCAGCGAAATGAACGGCCAGGAGCTTTGCACAAAGCAGCCCCTACAGCTGAACGTGGTATTTGACTAGTGACTTTTAAAAAGATCCTGCTACTGCTGATTTTTACAGTGGCTCCTCAGTTACAAAGGTGTACATTTCAAAGGAGGAATGCAGACGTGCCTATGGACTACTTGACTAGTAAATTCGTTGTTAACATCCTTAGTTGCCAGAGCAATCTGAGGCATTCTTGTAGTGCAGATCTCTGTGGTCTGAGGCCTTGATTTTTCAGGGTTAGTAATCAGGCTGTAACAAATGCAAAGGTCATTAGAATTGTTTATTGGCTGTAGAGAATGTATATCATTTTAACTTTCCCAGTCACAAATGGCCAAGATTTTGAGTTCTTCAGGCTGTTATCAGAGCTGGTTTTAAACTTTGTCTCTCTCTTTCTTCCACCTCTCCTTCCTTTCATGACTGACACACAAGGCCTGGGAGGCCACTGTGCATTTCTAAGAGATGAGCAGTGCCTACAGTGTATTATGCTTACTGTGTTCATGGGACTGTTGCTCACAAGAACCATGGCCTGGACTTCAAGTGGGAAAACACATGCTGAGCTACTCAATAATCTTTACAGTGAGTACCACCAGCAGCCCCTCTTCAGAGATCACATTTAAAGCTGATGATAAAATTTCTCAGAACTTTAACAGGTGTGAAAAATCAAACCTACAATAGACTGGGGTTGTAATCAATCATTCTAAAATGTCATGCAATAGTTTTGGTGCTTCTGTCTTTATCCCCATCACAATCTGGATGTCACAGCCTGAAACCATTCTGTTTCTAATTCTAAGCAGAACACGAAGCTAGGATTAGTAAGAGACTAAGGCCCAAAGTCTCTCTGATGGGGGGGGGGGGGGAATTTGGGTTTATGCACAACACTAGTTGTGTAATTCTCTAGACAGTTACATATAACAGAGATCCAATGTGCTGTTTTGGGACTAGAATAGTTAAGGAGTAAAATCCCATTTAATTGGTTAACCCTGTGATTCTCAAACTGTGGGTCCTGACCCCCCTGGGGGGTTGTGAGCAATTTAGAGGGGGGGGTATCACAAAGCTCGAGACCCCCTGGGTTAACAGGTTAAACGTTGTTTAACCATTTAAATGGGAGGGGGGGAATTACTCTGGGCCCAGCCAGAGAAGCCCCTGACCAGGTAGCAGGTAGGGCGCTGCTCCAGGCCTCACCTGTTAACCTTAACCCATAAGGCACATCCATTAAGGGTGAGGTTTACTTGTTAAGCATTCACATTTGTATTGGTATTCCCCACTGCTTTTTGGACAATGATTATGGTTCCACTGCCTCTCCTTCTAAACCTGAGTGTTTTATACAGTACTAAATAGCTGAAGTCTTCCTCTCCATTCTTTTGTAGAAAATGGAGTGATTAAATCTCAACGAGTCTTGGATGTGTTAATGGCCACAGATAGAGCCCACTACATCAAGTATTTCCCATACATGGATTCTCCTCAGTCAATAGGTATGAAACTTGTAGCAGAATGACACTTTTATGGTATGTGTAATAACTGCATAAAACTCAGTGATTCTTTGGTAGAGGGAAGACACAGGATAAGTTTGCAGGTCTTGATTTACTATGCTAGCAAGTCTTGCCTTGGAATAGTGTCAGGAACGGGAAAGAGCCCATATGCACTCTTTCTGCTAGTTCAAGAAGAAAAGTATCAGAATGGGTCTACTCGTGGGTTTCTCTCAAAGAAAGAACAAGATTCTACCCTTTGAAGGCTGGGAATTCTCATGGGGCTACTGTATTTGAAGTAGGGATGTAATAGTATAGCTGGTTAAAGGATTAAACGATAAGCCGCTGCTTATCATTTAATTGTATCAGCTACATGGAAAACATCCTCCCCCCCTTGTGGCTCTGCATTTAAAGTATTTTATCAGCTACATGGAAAATATCCCCCCCCCCTTGTGGCTCTGCATTTAAAGTATTTTGGGAGCTGGCACACAGACATGCTGGCTCAGTCCTGGCTCATGCCAGTCCTGGCAGCTACCCCCATTGCAGAGCCACTTATTGGTTAACTGTGTAAGGAACAATTTTTTGTTGGCTACACAATTACCAAATTACACAGTTCATAACATCCCTAATTTGAAGAACAAAACTCTTTATGAAGTGTAGAAAGTACAAATGTCTGATCACTGTTTCTTGACACAAGGTATGTTTACATTTAGGACAGTGTATGGTGAACTGACAGAGCATGTAGCACTGGCATTGGTAAAAATAGCAGTGTAGATGATAGCAAAGCATGGCTTAAGCATATTAGGTGCTGTTCTTGCCTACAATTATATACCTTACCAGCGCTGGACATACCCAAGCAGGGCCTCACAAGTTGACACAGCTGTTGCTGGAGCATTTTCCATGCCTTTCTAAACTGCCTTTGCTACATGTAGTGGCAAGTCTGGATACAGGCTGCAGTAAAAACAGACTCGAGCTCAGTGGTCACCAACCAGTAGATCAGACCAGAGCCTGTGACCCCAACCAGCTGCCCCTACCTGGTGAAAGGAAGAGAGGATATGGGAGGGGGAGGAGAGAGTGAGCAGGGGTGAGGCCTCAGAGAAGGGACATTCTAAACTGCCTTTGCTACATGTAGTGGCAAGTCTGGATACAGGCTGCAGTAAAAACAGACTCGAGCTCAGTGGTCACCAACCAGTAGATCAGACCAGAGCCTGTGACCCCAACCAGCTGCCCCTACCTGGTGAAAGGAAGAGAGGATATGGGAGGGGGAGGAGAGAGTGAGCAGGGGTGAGGCCTCAGAGAAGGGACACTAAGGAGGCAGGGCCAAGGGTATTTGGGTTTGAGGTAGATCTTGGATTGCACTTAAATTCAAAACATGATCTCATGCTTAAAAAGGTTGGAGACCAGTGCTCTAGCTATATGTGTAATGCACATATGCTACCCACTGCTGGTGTGAATGTCAGAAGTGCTTTGTGTGCACAAATCCAGTTGACTTTAGTAGGAGTTCTGTTGTGGCTACTCAGTATCTCTGAGAAGAGTCATTTGGGCCAGAAAAGAAGAAAACGGTAAAACCTCTGTTAGTGTAATCAATAGAGGAAAACAGTTTGCATGTATCTTAGTGCATATAGAAATACGGTAGATAGTAAAACCTCTGTTTGTTTTCCTCTATTGATTACACTGTTTGCATGTATCTTAGTGCATATAGAAATACGGTAGATTCAAAGAGTAAAATATTGGTGCTTTCAAACTGGTTTGTGATAAAGTGAAAGCCTCCTGGAAATGGCTTTTTCCTTCCAAATATAATGTCAGAAAATGAGAATTAAAAAAAAAATAGCTACAAGATAAGAGGACAAATCCTGACTCTGCAATATCATTGACTTACCACTTAAAACAGGAGACATGTTTTGAGTGGGGGCAGGGGGAATAAACTTTGAGGTTAGGCTGTAGTTTCAGAGGGATAGCTGTTAGTCTGTAAATTAAAAAAAATAAACGAATAGGCCTGAAGCACCTTAGACTAATAAAAAATATAGATGAGCTTTCATGGGCACAACCCTCTTCTTTATTTGAGGGATGAAGCCATTTTTTGACTCTCATTCATGAATTCACATTCACTGTGAATAATTTCCTTGAAAATCATTCTATGGGACTGTTTTTTCCCTCCTAAGTCATAAGGTATAGTATACACACGTGTACCCTCAGCCCTGAAGACTTCCCTTGCAACTTTGAATCAACATTTTAAACACCTGAAGTTGAAATCTTTATCACTGATATCTTAACGCAGACATATCTATAGCACAGATACTTTTTGTAGCTTCTCTTCTGAATTCTGAGAGAAACCTTGAATTATTATCCATTCTAGGACTTCTCACTGCTGCCTCCACTGCCACCTCTGATTTCTCAGACAACTAATTTTTTACACCAAACACACTGAAATATCTGTTTGACTTGTCTCCTGTTTTGAGTTTATCCACTTTATTGGCTTACTCTCCTAGACAATTTGTGGTATTACAGTACTGTAACTATTTTTGTGACTATCCTCCCCCTTCCTTACATACAAATTTGGTTTTGCATAAGGTACCTGAGTGGAACAAACTTGAACAGGATGGTTCTGTACTCAGAACTCTAAATTTTCTACACTACCCCTTTCAGCACTAACTCTGTAGTTTTTCAGGGATGTGGAAAAACACAACCCTGAGATACAAAAGTTTAAGCACTGAAAAGCATCAGCATAGACAGTGATTTAATCTCCTGGCAATTAAACTACCACTCCTCATTCAGGATAGGTTTTTGTCAGTGGGAGAGCTCTCCCCAGGCAATAAAGAGCAACTATGTTCCCAAGTCACAGTGCTGTAACATGGGCAGTGTTGAGCTCTTATTGATTAGAATGGCTGCAAAAATGGTCTCTAAGGGATAGAAGTTGGTTTTAGTTGTGAATGAGCCTGAAAGGTGGTGGTAATTGGCACACTTAGGTGGTGATTGGATAAGTCAGCTGAAATATTGCTCTTTGCTGTCATTAACACTCCTTAGAGGAGGTAGTTTAAGTTGATACATTGCCTCAGGTAGGTGTGAAAATAGAAAAGGCTTGAAATATTGAAAGAAAACTAAAATCAAACTGTCTTTAGAGTAGATAATAGTAATTATTCTGACACGGTCATAATTTTGTACTAGTGTTTTAATTATCAGTGGTTTCTTTTCAGGTTATAAGGCTACAATCAGTGCACCCCACATGGTAAGAAATTTTCCATTGTATTCAGACTTGGAGGGTTGCTTTAATTTAAAAGCTGTAATAACAAATTGACGTGTGTTATGCTTTGAGCACTGCCTTGTACCCTATGTTCTTCTACTGGTATCCTGTAAAACTGAAATGTTTACAAGGAGTTTTAGGAAGGACAGTCAACCTTGAAAAAATCACTTTAAACAATAATTCTGTCTTACTAAGGGGGGTAGTTGAAGCTTTCTATTTTTTTTCCAAGAGATACATTTCCTTCACAAGCCAGATATTTTCTGTTACACATCCCACTAGTGAAATCTATATTCCTAACCTCTTTCAAAGGTGCTGTCATCAGAACGGTACTACAAATTCAACATTGGGACATGATTGCAAAATTAGCTGTGGGAAGGAAAGGTGTGTTCTAAACAGTGTGCTTACACAGCTATCACAGTTCTGACAGGAAAAATTGGGGGAAGGGCATGAGAGAAATCTAATCTGCATGAAAGTGTACAACATCTCATTTTGTTGGTGTTATCCCTATAGCACGCCCATGCTTTGGAGTTATTGAAAGATCAGCTAGAGGAAGGAGCAAGGGCCCTGGATGTGGGATCTGGAAGTGGTTACCTCACAGCTTGCTTTGCTAGAATGGTGAGCAAAGTACAAAATTATTTGCTTATTTTCTTGAAATAAATAAAGAAACCTTCTTAAAATTGAAGGTCAGATCAGCCTAAGACAAATAACTGATTCCTCCAGTCAGTTTGAGTATAAACAACTAGTGTATCTGCCAACAGAAATGCAATATACTAGACAAATTAACCCGTTATAGACTGAAAAGGAAGTGAATTAAGTGCCATGTACCGAAACAGTCACTTTGACTTTCACTTGCTTTGCTGAACTTTAAACCTACTCTTGAGAAAATGACTTAATGAAAGTAGTTTCTGAAAATAATCTTAGAGCATTAGAACATTGCCCAAGACACATTCTCCTCCCTGGAAACTGGTCACAATTTCAAGAAGAAATCCTGACAGACTTCTGTTTCCTCTTCCCAACTGGCATTTGGTGGATGACTTCCTCTTTCCTAATGAATGGTGATTAGGAATCCCAGTAGCTTGGGCTAGTCATTGTTTGGGTACCCATCATTAATAATAACTTTATACAGAATTTGAACCTCCTTTTCAGATATTCCTCATAAACAGATAAGTCCCTGGAAATTCTCTCTGATCCTTCCACTGCAACCGTGTAAAACCCTGTAAAATGCATAGAGACTGTGTGCACATAATGAAGCAACTCTCTGGTTTCAGGTGGGTTCCACAGGGAAAGCAGTGGGCATAGAACACATTGAAGAGCTGGTCCGTGAATCCATTAGAAATGTCAAAGAGGATGATCCATCTCTGCTCACTTCTGGTCGTCTAAAGCTTCTGGGTGAGCTCTGTGGCCTTGGCATTTCGTTCCTCTACCTGAACGTGCTGTAGCCTGGCAGTGCTCAATCCTTGCTGGTTTTAGAGACCTGCCTCTCTGTGGTTGGCATGTCTCTGTCATGGTAGTACTCAAGTGCTTGTCACAGTAGTATTAACACTGTTTTTCTGTTGAATAACATTGTGATGGGTTGGATCACAGAGGTCCCTTGGGGACTGTCACATGATGAGCTGATCATACCACTGGTCCCACCAACCTGTCCTCTGGGGCATCCCACCACCCTATTCTGCTGGGTCAGAAGCTCTGGTCTCCCCCAGCAAAGGTAGAGTTGAGATGACAGTCCCCAGCAGACTAACAGATGAGAGGAGAGATTATGTACAGGAATTTGACAGCATCCTGGAGCACAGCCTTCAATAGGGACCAAAACTCCAAATAAATGTTTAAAGTCTGTATAAAGATTTTACACAGAGAAGTCATAAGTTCACTACCTTTCTCAATAAAAGAAAGAAATGCATAGCAGTTACTCTACCTCCTCCAACCAGTAACAATTATTTACACTGGGTTTGATAATAAACAAGCATGTTTTAGTAAGTACTAGCAAAGTTATCCAGCATTGACAGGGGTCTGGTGGTGTGGGGGGTGCAGAACTCAGGGCATGGCCTTGAGGATGGGGGTGGAGGAGTGCAAGAGTGAGGGGTTGGGGGATCAGGAGGGGCTCAGAGCAGGAGGGTCCATCTGGCATACTTAGTGTGCTGGCAGTCAAGGTAGCAGAGTCCTAGTCCTGCTGGCTGCTCCCTTGATGGTACGGCTGACCCCAGTGGACAATCTGCAGAATGGCTGTCCGCTGCAGGCTTGATGGCCCAGTGGCAACTCTCCTATTATGTCCCTCCAAACAGCAGCCCTTCCCTCTTCATGTTATGGAAAACTATCCCCTTTTTTCCAGGGCTTCTGGTTGTCTTGGCACAACCAAACCCTGATCTTGCTTTAAGTTAAGAGAAAGAAGGCTGCATACCAAATTGTTCAGGACTCCTTCTAAACAGATGTAGTCACTTAAATCCATCTACATGTATGAGTCCAAGTGAAAATGGGACCGATCAAAGCAAGTTGCTATTCTAAAATAAACAAGATGCCAGTTATGCCTAATATACTAAGAGAGACTGTTACAGGTCATATTCTTACCCTAATCCTTATTTCAGGTAAAATCCTTTGAGTTAGAACTGATCTTTTCTTTGGCTTGGGTCTACAGCTTCTTATGTACTCTTAGAATAGGCAGGCAGTTTTGAAAAGCCAGCTGAAGATGACTTACTACTTCCCATTCCTTAAATAGAATTTCTCCAGGACAGGAATCCTTTGTTTAATTTCCCCCATACCTATAGAAAAATATCAAATTCAAGATGGATTCCAGCACTACGTGTCATGGTGACAGTCTTTCTAGGACCAACCACAGTTTGGGCTTTCAGGGAAAAACAAAACCATTTACTGATCCTTGTCTTCGGCATTGGATCATTAAGTATGTACTACTAATGGCTTTCACTGGCAGGTTTATGCTTCAGATTTCTAACTTTCCATACCAGAATATGTACACGCAAAAAGAATTTGCACATTCAGCGGATTATAGGCTCTTGAATTCTAGGTTTCTTGATCCATATTCGTTATGCATATTCGTATTAAAATGTATTTTCATAAAAGCTATGGGAGCATAGTGTCAAGCCTTCATTTTCACAGGTAAGTGAAAATTACAGGTAGGTGGCTTACAGCACTGACTGAAGCCATATATAATGTAGGCAGTTGATTCATCTCCAATCAGCACTTGTCAATACAACTTTTTCCTTATTGGTGTGCAACAACTCTTATTTCAGTACTCAGCTCCTCTTAAGTAAACAGTTTCAGAGGGGTAGCTGAGTTAGTCTGTAACAGGAAAAACCTAAAAAAAGAGAAGTCTAGTAGCACTTTAAAGACTAACAAAACACGTAGATGTTATCATGAACTTTCGTGGGCACAATCCACTTCTTCAGATGTGTTAATGCTACATGGTCAAAAACTAAACCCAAACTCTACTTCTGTTGTTATCCATCAGATTTAAATCTAGGTCTCTGGACTCCTGTATCTCCACTTACCTACTTTGTCTTATTGAGCCCTTCCCAGTGTTGGTGCTTCCTTCTAACAATATTTTCTGTTTCCAAAATCTATCTTTCTTTAAAAGTTAACTTCCTAGAGCAGCCTGTCTTAGTAACCTTCTTGTAGAATCCCTAATTGTCAATACAATTGATGTACAGAGTCCACATACCTTTTGTGTGAAAGATAAAATAGAGGATTATCTAGGTTGTTACCATATGAACAGAGATCTTCTTTACCTATTACCTCTGTAGTTGGAGATGGCAGGCAGGGATATCCTGAAGAAGCACCTTTTGATGCCATCCATGTTGGAGCAGCAGCAGACACTGTACCAAAGGAGGTAAGTATGAACAGAGATGGAATAGTGTCCTTTCAGTTCTGTGTGAGATACTATCACTGTTTTGGTGGACATAATAGATCCATAATCAGCTTTTGTCTTTCCTTATTTAAACTTCAGAGGGGTAGCTGAGTTAATCTGTAACTGGAAAAACTTAAACAACAGTCTAGTAGCACCTTAAAGACTAACAAAACATGATGGTATGAGCTTTCATGGGCAAAATCCACTTCTTCTGATGGCTGGAGTATTAAAAGTCCAGATCCAAGAATAAGGAACCCGGGATAGGGGTGTTCATAGAATCATAGGACTGGAAGGGACCTCGAGAGGTCGAGTCCAGCCCCCCACCCTCAAGGCAGGACCAAGCTCCGTCTACACCATCCCTGACAGATGTCTATCTAACCTGTTCTTAAATCTCTCCAGAGAGGGAGATTCCACCACCTCCCTTGGCAATTTATTCCAATATTTGACCCCCCTGACAGTTAGGAATTTTTTCCTAATGTCCAATCTAAACCTCCCCTGCTGCACTTTAAGCCCGTTACTCCTTGTCCTGTCCTCAGAAACCAAGAGGAACAAATTTTCTCCTTCCTCCTTGTGACACCCTTTTAGATATTTGAAAACCACTATCATGTCCCCCCCCTTAATCTTCTTTTTTCCAAACTAAACAAGCCCAGTTCATGAAGCCTGGCTTCATAGGTCATGTTCTCTAGACCTTTAATCATTCTTGTCGCTCTTCTCTGTACCCTTTCCAATTTCTCCACATCTTTCTTGAAATGTGGCGCCCAGAACTGGACACAGTACTCCAGCTGAGGCCTAACTAGTGCAGAGTAGAGCGGCAGAATGACTTCACGAGTTTTGCTTACAACACACCTGTTGATACAACCTAAAATCATATTTGCTTTTTTTGCAACAGCATCAGACTGTTGACTCATATTCAACTTGTGGTCCACTATGACCCCTAGATCCCTTTCCGCCATGCTCCTTCCTAGACAGTCGCTTCCCATCTTGTATGTATGGAACTGATTGTTCCTTCGTAAGTGGAGCACTTTGCATTTCTCTTTATTAAACCTCATCCTGTTTACCTCTGACCATTTCTCTAACTTGCTAAGGTCATTTTGAATTATGTCCCTATCCTCCAAAGAAGTCGCAACCCCACCCAGTTTGGTATCATCTGCAAACTTAATAAGCGTACTCTCTATCCCAATATCTACATCATTGATGAAGATATTGAACAGTACGGGTCCCAAAACAGACCCTTGAGGAACTCCACTTGTTATCCCTTTCCAGCAGGATTTAGAACCGTTAACAACAACTCTCTGACTACGGTTATCCAGCCAATTATGCACCCACCTTATCGTGGCCCTATCTAAGTTATATTTGCCTAGTTTATCAATAAGATAAATTACAAGAGGCTGATGAGGAAAAATTAGCACCTCCGTTGGTTGGTTAAGTTATTAGGCTGTGGAAGGTATTTAAATTTATTTAAACTGTTTTTGGTTCTTGCTGATATTCTTTTCTGATTGCCAGTTGCTGAAACAGTTGAAGCCAGGTGGCCGTTTGATCTTGCCAGTTGGGCCTGCAGGTGCAAACCAGGTTCTGATGCAATATGACAAAACCAGTGATGGGCAAATTGTGGAAAGACAACTGATGGGAGTGATCTATGTTCCCTTGACAGATAAGGAGAAGCAGTGGTCTCGGTAAAAATATTTCCCTGGTTCTATTTTGTCTTCAGAGGGGTAGCTGAGTTAGTCTGTAACAGGAAAAACTTAAAAAACAACAAATAGACTAGTAGCACCTTAAAGACTAACAAAATGTGATGGTGGTGGTATGAACTTTCATGGACGCAATCCACTTCTTCAGATGAAGCCAGACATCTGAAGTGGGTTGCGCCCATGAAAGTTCATGATACCATCTACATGTTTTGTTAGACTAGTAGCACCTTAAAGCCTATTTGTTGTTTTTTAAAGTTTTTCCTAATTTGTCTTGTTACATTTGTTTTTATCAGTGAGAAGATGTTGAAAGCAGGATAAAAAGTCAACCCCCCAGATTTGTATCCAATGCAGTGAGCTAGGTGAAGGGAAGGGGTTTACATACTGTGCATCTCCTGGTATTTTAGAGATTAAAGATTAATAGAGCATTATAGCTCCCAGCACAGTCTGGCCTTCTGTTTTTCATAAATATTTTATTCATATGCATTATCATTGGAAAAAGACAACACGGAATTTATTCACAGCAATAACAGTTGCCTTTTTTTCCTACACATAGGGATGAATTCTAACAGAATATCAAATTCTCTTGGAAAAGCTCATGAACCAGTTCCTGAGGAAGCAGCTATAGATGTGTATGACTTTTGCTTTATAAATCTTTTTTTTTAAACGTGGACATATTGCAAAGGTGTGTTCTGCTTTTTAAAGAATTTGGTATGGAAGAGTGAGAGGAGAATATTCTTCCTCAATCAACACCCAGTTCCTGGGCTGTGGAGACCTTGACTTACCTCTTCCTGGACTCTTAGTAAAGCCAGATAAGCTGACTTGCTGTTTGGTCGGCAAGTATATAATATCCATGCAGATAGAGAAGGGAGAGTTACAATACTGTTATAGATTTGAGAATTCATGTGTATTGTACTTGATTAAATGGTAGTGCATTATATTCATGACTTCATCTGATGCTTGAACAGCTACAGTATTAATTTGATACATTTAATGTTCTAGATTAAATTTTTTTCATCTCTTTTGGGAAGCTAGTCCATCAGCTCTAGCAACACGTGTGTAGCTGAAGCCAGGACTTGACATTAGCAACCCCTTTTGGGACGCTAGTCCACCAGCTCTAGCAACACGTGTAGCTGAAGCCAGGACTTGACATTAGCAACCATGTAAATACTTAATCAGAATTGAAAGAGAGGCTCCCAGGACTTTCTCTTAACTTACTTATTTTTTCCCTCCATTGAGTAGCTATTTTTAAGATGAAACACAGTTCCCATGTTTCATATGATACTAATTAGCCCTGTTTTGAAATTGGAATGTGCATGTTCTAGAAGCTGAAATCTTTTTCTTTCCTCAAATTGGGTTCTGAAAGGTGGTGGTCAAATTTAATAAAGCTGAACTAAGGAAGCTCTTACTGGCATTTCATGCTGTACCTTATCTAAAGAAAAAGACAGCATTGGAAATCCTCATGCCAGCAGTGCGGGGGTAGAGTGATGTTTTTGTAAGGACCAAATGGCCCTCCAGGGCTTGCTTCACTTTTCTTGATAAGTGAGGCTTATCCATCCCGTTATGCCTTTCGGACACGTTTTCTGGTCCCCTGTCCTGGGCAGCTTGCTTCTTTCATAGCTGGCTGTTGCTTCCTGCATTTGTGTCCATCAGTTTCCTGTACAGCTTGTGCGTGATGGAGGGGGGAGAGCAAGGGGAGTAGGATGGAGGGGGGGAGCGAACGGGCTAGGGGCTAGCAGACTTGGCGAGGACAAAGCAGGAGCCCAGCATGTCGTAGATGGCGTGGCTGGGATACTAGCACAATCACTGCAACTGCCACGGCCAGACTGGCGGCAGAGCCCGTGCTCAAGCCGCAGGGGTTTGCCCATTGCACTGTCCTGGCTCCCTCTTCCCGCGGCCTAGCTGTAGCGTGCAGCGGTGGCCCGCTCCCCCTATGTAACAAACTGCGCCGGTGAGCTCAGCGGAGCGCGCGGCTAACTCCTGCCAAAGGGGCGGGGCACTCTGTGTTGCCTGTGCTAGACGTCACCGTAAATGGGAGAGCTGATTGGCTGGGCCGCAGGGCATCACGCGCACGCCGGGGCCATGTGGGCGAGGTCGGCCGCGGTGCGGGCGCTGGCTG